CTGAAGGAGCTACCTTAGGGATAAAATCCTGGCTTTACTGAGTTAGCTGAAATCTTACTGTTCACTTTAAGGAGGACAGAATTTTTGCCTTTATATATAAAATGGCCTACAAACATCACACAACATAGTAGTTTTACTTCTATTACTGTTTTTCTACGGATATAGAGATTTACCTCCTTCCAATGAATCAAGAATTAGCATGAACACTGAAGCTCAGCTACACTTCGGTTCACAGTAGAGGAGCAATGAAACGAATACATTTTAATTCAGTTCATGGCTTAATGGCAGTCAAAAGTAATATACTAGAAAAGACACTCTTTAGCTTTGGTGAGTTTTGCTTAACTCAGGTTACCATCCTTATAAAGCTAATCTTTATAATATTTTACTGTTTTGTTGTTGATTTTGATGCCATGAGTTACTCAGAAGCAAAGCTCTTCCTGCATTTATAGAAAAATGAGATTATTGGGTTATTTTCCAGTTCACCAAATGTTGTTCCTGGCTAGTCTTATTAAAGAGATTGCAGTGATGCAGAATTTCAAAATGAAAGAGAAGAGAAAAAGAAGAGTGGGTTTTTTTAAAAAAAACAAACTAACTAGAAAGATCACATTCACAGAATTGGCTGAATGTAAGTCACAGCTGTATAACAAACCATATACACTAAGAGCATAAGGATAACCATATCAGCTCAGATCCAAATTTAATTTAGCCTAACATCCTGTTGGCAAGAATTACCAGTAGCAGATGACTACAGAAAGTATAGAAAAGACAGGTAACATCTGAAGTTGGCCAAAATTCTGGTTGAACATTTTTATTGCCTCTTGAGAGCTACTGATAGATTAGGGTGCTGTCTGTAACAACACATCCTAATGTCTATTTACCATTATGTAATTTCTCTTACAGTGATTGAGTACCAGGAACACATACAAAACAAAGACAGATCAATATGACTACAATGTCATACAGTGTAATACAATGTGATATCTTGACTTAATAAAGATACTTAAAGAAAATGAAACAAAGAGGGAAAACCACAAATTATTTTATGGATTTATTATTTTATTCTTTGGTATATCCTTTAGGAATTGCCTGGTTTAGTGCTATAATTATGATATAACACAAAAGCTCATTTTTCTATTTAAATAATTTATAAAATTATAATTGGAAGAGATAGTGATTTCCATTATCCACATGTCTCTTTAACCTCGAAGTTTGTGTTGAGTGTTTATATATCAAGCTGAGTCTCAAAAAAAACAGAAAAGTAGTTTAGATGTTTTCACAGTGAGATTATGTTGTTTATAAGTGTTTAAGATTCTATTAACTAGTTCATCAAAGAACTTGTGCTTTGAGAATTATGCAGCATATAATAGGTGTGCAGGAAAAAGCTGGTCACCTTATAAATCTTGTATGTTCAGAAGTACCTTGTAAAACAGTTAAAGTACTGAAATCTCTGTCGGTATTAAATTTAATATTACTCAAAAATCATTCTTCCTGGTCTGTGAGAGACCTCTGATATTGGATACTAAATTTAAGCATGTGATATAACTGCAATGCTGACATTGATAAACTAATAAATTTTCAGTGTATGACTTCTCAACCTTAATAATCTCTTTCCATAGTTTCTGTACATAAAGGAAGAAATGTTAAATTCATGTATGTGCATGACCTTTTGTAATTACTAAAACAAGTGAGTTTCATACAAAAGACTATATACTGAAATATCGTAAATCAAATTCTCAGCTAAAATCAGCTATCCAGTTCTAACTACACAGTAAAGTCTTACTTTTCCCAGTTTGCTAAATATTGTGTTTCCATTTCCTATACAATTTATTTAAAGAAAAAAAAATGCAATGAATTGCAGCAGTATTACATTTCTGAAATAAGCATAAGAGTTGCTGAGGCACAGCCTCCAGAAGAAGAAAAGGGACCTTACAGTATGCTGTCTTACTGCTTAAAGCAACTTGTGTCATAAGCCTTAAAATAGAGAAAGGAACTCAGTGATGAATCACTTGCACAACAAATACAAAAGTGCATGTGAGATACTGCCGCAGAGACCTAAATCACATAAATGTTTTGCTGAAAAGAGAAAAATTCATGCTTTGTTTTTCCTTTAGGGATACGTTAAGACACATCAGAACAGATGAGACATGATCTAGAACTGGGAACAGAAAAACGAGCCATGCAGTTTATGATAGGCCATTTAATTCTGATAGACGTGTTCTGAGCAAAGAATCAACAACACACAAGCTCAATTTCCACTGAACTCTCTGTGGTCTTTTTTCTTTCTCGTTAACATTGCTAATATTACAACATTTTAATGTGACATAGTTATTGGAGAGTTCATGTAGTGTTCCCTCACTAAATTTTATGGAGAGATGCACAGACAGGGTATCTTTAGGAAAGTGCCATTCAAAGACCTAAAACATTCTTTAGATTTCATATCACCTCTGAGTCAGGGTGTCAAAGGTTATTTATGTGAGAGCTAGCCCTAATTCTGGGGGTACATAATTGCTTAAAATTGTGAAAAGCACATAATAATATAGCAAATAGTACTGAATATGCATAACAATTTACAAATCTGAAATTATCTGTCTTTATTTAAAAAGAAAAACCATGTAAAGATCTGAATACAATAAATCTATCACACGTACTGCCCTTGTAAATTGTAAGTAGAATACAACTTTGATAGATAACATTTTATTTTGTCATTCAGATTTGCTATACAGGAGGCTTATAAAATATTTTTATATCCCCAATTGCTATCCTATACCAAATTCTATACAGATAGTGTAATTTCCAAATGAAAGACATTTATGTCTCAACTGAGAATAAAGTAGAAAAACAAGTACTCAAAATCAAAATAAAATAATTCCCACAAGTTAGTATGAACGTCTCCATCTACTTCAGAAAAAAAAAAAAATCTAAAAAATAATGTAAAAATTGTAATAATAATATTGCCTTGGACAAAAACTTTTGGCATTTCCTTTTTAAAAGTAGTAGTATTTCTTGCTACTGTAACTTCAGCCAACATCAGCTTACTCAAAGAAATCTCAACTCCTATTAGCATAACTTGTTTTAAAAAGTCATTTCGAACCTTTCATTTTTTTAATTCTGTAAAAATAGAAAACTCAAACATAGATTTTTTTTAAAAAAAACTCTCCTTAAGTTAATGGCCAACACAGGCAAAAGAACAAATGGATATAAGCTGTCGCTGAAAAAATGCAGATTGCAAATTACTACAGAGTCTCTAGCCATTAAAATAAATCAAACTCTGGAACAGCCTTCGGCGGAAACACTGAGGGCAAAGAAATAACAACTCCAATTTAGTATTGGCAAAGTTTATGAAAAGAGAATTATCTGATGCAATTCCCAGTCTAGCAGAGCACTGGACTTGATGACCCAGAGATCCCTTCCACTGTTATGTTCTTTGTTTGGCTAGATGCAGATGTTCATCTGTTTTTCAGCCTCATTGTGGTTTTTCTAAAGTGAAATTTAAATGAAAGTTAATATAATTTTTGTAAGTTTCAGTTAGAAATTACCCTTTGTAAGAATCGTTGCTAGGCCTGTAGCAGAGTGGAACTTGTCAAAGAATTAAAAGCTTTACTTAAAGTTGGCTTAGCATGATAGAGAAGTACCAAAGTATAACTATTCAGAGATGAATGCTCAGCAGGGCACGCACCATGGGAAGAGGTAACAGATCTACTGGTAGGGAAAACAGGAAGAAAAAAATAAGCGATACAGGCTAGGACTGATACATCAGTAATCTCAAGGAAGAAAGCAAAACAGAACAGTAAAGAAAGCAAAGGATATCAGGATATAAAAAAAGTATAGGGAAGGAGAAATATCATAAATATTCAATGCCTTTCTAAAAAAACTAAGTAATGAAATCTAGGTGTGTGGTGGCTGTGAAGAGTCTATGCAAACTCAAAAGAGAAGAAAATAAAATGTTTTGTTCAAGAGGAAGGACATCTTTCAGGTGAAAATCTAACACAAGCCTCTCTCTCCTCCTCTCTCATCTCCCTCATGCTTAGCTATTGGAATTTGCCTAGAGTTGGCTGGCTTTGAAAGACCCTATTTTGAAGAATAAGTGACAGTGCAGATGCTACCGCACACAGTTCTGTAGGTGACTCAATATGGAAGAAAACGTTCAAACTCAGAAGTACAACTCTAAACTATTGCCTAAAACAACAATAACAATATTTAAGCTCGAAAACAACTTAGTGTTCCTCAGTAACTTGCACCATCCTCCTGCCTTTGCCCAGTTCTTTGGGTTTTTTTTTTATTAACGTAAGAATATTTTTTCTGTTGCAGGTAATTTAAATGCATCATAGTGACTACAGAAAGCTATTGCAGGTCTACATCAGCGAGATGAAAATAAAGTAATTTATAGAAAACAACTCTAAATGTTTTCTAGTTTTGAATAAATAAGTTCTCAGAGCAGCTTTTAATGATTTTCAAATACATGTATCTTTACAGCTCCAATCAGTCATAAAAGCATACAAAGGTCAAGCAAATACTTTATCTTATTTAAGACACTGTGGTCTGTTTTCTATCAGTCACAAGTTCTAAGGTTTACACTCAAAAAATGATACTGCTACACAAAGCTTCAAAATAAAGGCTTTATACAAATTCTGTGAACCTTGATGGCTATATATATAATTCTTCCAAATGAAACCCTGAACCTGATAAAATCTAAGATACACTGATTCTTTGAAAATAGAAAAATTACTTACTCATACTAAATCGCAACTTCAGTATATACTTAAAAATTATCACCATACAATTTTTTAAATGGCTGTATGCAGGCATGATCATATAAAGATGATATTTAAAGTCTAGCCCTTTCTTCATATGAATAATGTAATTTTTCTGTTTTCTAACAATGATTGCTGCAGATTTTCAATAAACACAGAAGTATTACAGATTATGAGTTCAGCTAAGCCTTCTAAGTTGACTGGAGAACAAACAAGCATTTTACAGCCCCTTACTGTGTGCCTTTGCAGGTATTCTAGAAATCCGAACAGTGGCAGTTGGAATAGTGGCAATCAAAGGAGTGGAAAGTGAATACTTTCTGGCAATGAACAAGTCAGGAAGACTCTATGGAAAGGTATGGATGCAAACTTCTCTTGTGTGTCCAATCATCACATACAATCTTAAAGATACATATTTTTGATGCAACATCTGTATAGTTTGTATAAAATAGATTCCTAGCAAATTAAAATGTATCTTATACTTATCCCATACATCCAATACTAGACTTTTATGTCCATTTAATAAAGTCAGTGATTAGAGCTTATATACTTTTTAAAAACGTGGAATACTAAGGAGAAATAGACAAAGCTAAAATATTCAATACTCAGATTTCAGAAGTCCATTTTATTTATTAAAAATACTAATAATATGTGGCGTTTATAATGCATATTCTTCTCCCATCTTCCCTAATCTAAGTATTTGAAAAATCACTTGTACTTATTTTACTCTATTCTATTATTTACTCTCAATAGAAAGTATGCAATGAGGACTGCAACTTCATAGAACTAATTGAAGAAAACCATTATAATACATATGCTTCTGCAAAATGGACGCACAAAGGAAAGGAGATGTTTGTCACATTAAACCACAAAGGAGTCCCCATGAAAGGTAAAAAAACAAAGAAAGAACACAGAGCATCCCACTTTCTTCCTCTGGCAATATCCTAATCACAAATGATCTATAAAGAACTAGTTCCAGCAGGAAGATTATTTTTAAGAAGACTATTTGACAAGATATCAAGAGAGGCTGGAATACTACTGAGAAACTGAACAAGCTGGACTTGCGCATTTATGTTTATTTTTAAGAGACTACATGAAAAAGATTTGAAAATATACACAAAACCAGATTTACTAACTAAAAGTTGTAAAAAATTCTAAAGAGTTGTACAATCATTATCTTAGTCATTGTAACTGGGTAGTTTCTTAAATTAATTTACCCTGAAGTATAAGTCATTACTTGATTATCTGATAATATTTTATTTAAAAAAAAAACCTATCTGCTTCTTAAATATGGCTGCTATAATAATAATAAGCAGATGATAATGTTGTGTAAAATATGTCAGACTTTAAGGCTGCTGGAATGAGTTGTCAGATTATCAAGTCAATAGTAAATGTGGAGGCTGAGCAGTATTTTAAATACTTCCCCCAAGAAACTGGTATCCTATACATAAACTATATGATCAGAAAAAAAAATATAATCTTGTAAATGTTTATTGTTGTATTCAGATAAAAGAGTTAGTTTGGAAAAATTAAGTTTACTCTACTACAAAATGTTTGTATCTATTAATGAAACAAATACCTAATGCTGCTCTAAAAGATGTTTCAAATAGTGTATGTAAAATAAGAATAGGAATAAATAATGTACTTCATCTCACTTTTCACAAATTAACATTATATATAACGATGAAGCAAAAATTCAGACATATTAAGGTTTTTTATGTAACATATCCTATCTTTTGTATAATTCCTGTTAGGGCATACAGCTTTCAATATTGTTTTTCCATCCTTATACATGCTTTTTCTGTTGTTACAGCATTAAACTTTATTTTAAGTTGTATTTGAACTTTATTGTTCTAAGTTATTTAAATGTTATTTATAAAAAAAAATACTTATTAATCTGCATCTGTTTCATATGCTTTTAATTCTAAAGGAATTACAAAACAGTCTGGCTGAGATGCCCGAATTTTTTTCTGTGACCAGACACAAAGGCTAGTACACAACCCACTTGCCAACATACATTGGATGGCAGACAAAAATGACAGCCTGCAGCAAATCACACAAAAACATCTCAAAAAAAACAACACAAAAATGTAAAAAATCTTTGCCACATACTCTTGCTAATTGAATTACTAGCATGCTCAGAGTTACACCAGGTAAAAGAAGGTTACAGTTCCAGCAGGTACTGGAACTAATCCTCAGATGGTAGAACCTATACTCAACAGACACAGAAATATATAAGAGCCTATATGGCTAGTTTGAAACCAGCTAAAATCAATGTGACCTGATGAAGAAAAGACATCTTAATTTTCTAGCTATTAAAGTGTTTAACTAAGCCCTACA